GGAATTCCCGGCAGGAATTCCCGGCAGGCTCGTGGTGCAGCAGAACACAGGGCAGTCGCAGGCAGGTGCCCTTTGCTGCTCTGTGTTTCAGGAAAGGACTTAGAAATGAAGGTCGCGTTTATCCCTGCAGAGAGCAGGGCTGGAAGCGGCTGGGGGGGCCGGGGCCGCCTGCCCGCCGGCGCGGGACCCCCGGGTTTTTCCAGGGCTGTTTTCACCACAGAGCTCCCTCCCCGTCCTGCTGCTCCGCTGCAGTGTCCGCTCTGGCTCCCGGAGCGCAGCGTGCGAAATCCCCCTTGCTCCGACACCTCCGTGCGCAGCGCGGCGCCGCAGTCAGCGGAAATACCGAAGGATGCACAGGGAAGTTATTGACAGGAACTGCCAACCAGCAGGAATTAATGATCCAAGAGCTTTTAAAAAAATGTGATAGCGTACCTCAGTACCAAGAACATCTATCACGACAGACCATGAAAATATGTTAGTTTCATTCTTAAAGTTTTCCTTAGTTCCACTGATTTCCAGGAGTGAATCCAATAACATAAGCAAAGATGTCAAAGACTGAGACACTAAATCCAGCACTTGCTCTTTGGATTACTTTGCATTACCTATTAAAATCATAGAAAAACAAGTGCAGTTAATTATTGTGCATCAGTGAGAAGGTGATGTCAGTTCTCAGCCATCCTCAGAAATTCAAGCAGGTTTTGGTGCTCCATAAGCATTGCGGATTTTAGGTTCTAGTCTTTGGATTTCAAGAGTTTGTTTTCCAGATGGAAATCTGGGACCCTCCAGCAGTTGTCCACATTAAACACAATGAAGTTACGGATCCCTTCATCTGGGCTATTTTGCTTGCTAAATCAGTGTACAAACACTGTTAACAGAGTTCTTAAACTACTTGGAGCAGTTCTGCAAACAGTTCATAGTCCATTGCCTTCCAGAGCACATTGATTTTGTAGTATAATGGGTATTTTAAGTGCCTCAATAATTGTGAATATACATCTAGGAACTAAATACCACTCATTTGTTACATGTTTGTAACATCCCAGGCATTTCAGAGTTATTTATAGTCTTGCCATTGCTTAATTTGGCGGGGTTGGAGCCAAATTCACTGTTGTTTTGCCCTGTGTGACACTGACGGATGATCAAAGCAGAAAAGAATTTCCCAGATGGGAAGTTTTGCGCCCTCTTTGCGCTCCTTCTGCTTGGTACAAACTGACTAATCTTAGGTGCTCTGCACCAAAGCACTGGGACCCAATTCGTAAATGATACACAAACTCAGTCTCTGCACAAATAAACATTTAGATAATTATTCATTTGCTACATTCATCCACAAACTACATTTTATTTAATAAGAAAATAATCCTTAGATCCGTTTACAGCTAATTACATACAACAATATTAAAAAGCCCTCCAAAATTCCAAGGTATTTGAGCTTACATTTAGGACATGAACATTCCCTTGTTTAATATGATTAAATTACCTTTTGGCCCTGGAGAATGTCTCTCTGAATCTCGGTTATGGTCTCTCCACAACCTTTATACGCTTAGCTTAACTTTAGAGAAGACACAAACACGTAAAAACCCTTACGAGCCTCCCGTAAGCACTGCAGCGTACGCAGAAGGACCCGCGCTGCGTGTTGCCCCGTGTTGGGTTGTCTGGGGGTATCCAAGTCGGTGTGAGCATTCCCAGTGGCCGCTGCGGGCTTTCCGCAGGTTGCTGCTCCTCTCTTACTCCATCCACTGTGTAATACACAGGCAAAGCGCGAGATACAGGTGTCAGAACTGGTCAGTTTATGTCAAAGCAGAAATGTATTTTCCTGCCAAAACCAACCTTACTTCTAAGGAGACGCAGGTCTCAGACGCATGATCAAGCACACGTAATCGTGGGCCTGTTGCACACTTGTCAACAAAGCACTAGAAAAAGCAACTGTGTAACGTAATCCCTTCTATTAAAGACAAAATGTTGGTGCTCTTGGTAGCCTGGTTCACTTTGCTGATTTATTACTGTTCTTTGCAATTACTGCTACATCATATTTGCTCTCTATTTTGTTTGTTATTTCCAGCCTGAAGGGGACTGAATACTGACAGATCATTTCTGAATTGCAATGGGACTCATGGATTTTTGTAATTTGAAATCAACAGTCAACTGTAAGCAACCTTGAAAGACTGGAGCTAGCATTTAAAAATGGGTGGGAGTGTGGAGAAAGTTTCACAGAGAGTTGTACTTGCACGGAACTAGGATAAAAGCTGCGTTGCTTCGGATCTCCATTTCCTGTGGTAATCAAGCTACGCAAGGAATCTCTACAAATCTTCAAGGTTGGTGAATCAGTATTAAGTTTTCTGCAGGAAACTGAAATCTTCTGTCCAATAAAGGTTAAGATCTCAATAAAATAAATTAATTCTGTCTACTCTGTTCTTGGCCAACAGTCTGGTTTTGCAGTTTATGACCATAAATCCCTTGATTGTACTTTGAAAAAAATCCTAACGCATGCACTGGTAGAGAACAGATCTGCCCTGCCTGCTACCATCAGGCTTATTGACCAACTAATCTTCTAAGAGTTTTCATTTAGCTAAATGAAATTTCAAGAAAGCCACAGGTATAACTGATTATCTTCCTAAACAATACACACATTATATAATGAAAAGTTTTAGTAGACATTTTTCTTCCAGAAAATAGTGCAGTAGTGAATTCCAGAAAGGATACCTTATATTTAATCCTTATATATCCTTATCCTTGCATTTCAGACAAGCTCTATTACGGCTGATAATTTACTTAAATCAGAAATTAGAGACCCTTTGGCTTATCTTGAAGAAACCGGTCTCAGAGACATGCATGTATAGGGACATGTGTATTTCAGGAACATAGTGCAGCAACAGACCATGAAACCACAACATAAAAGGTGATTACAAAATATAAGTTTTAAGTGAATGAAAGGATTGCAAGTTTGAAATAGGCATAAAATGATGGGATAAGGTGGCGGGGAAGCGCAGCTTGTCTGCTTTGAGCCAGGAGGTCATTGCAGGGGTGCCGAGAAATGGGGAGCGCGCAGGGAGGGCCCGAGCAGCGGCCAGGGAGCGGCGACCGGCCCTGCGCGCAAACCCGCAGCGGAGCCTCCCGCCGGCGCAGCGCTGCGAGGCGATTTTAGCTGATCGTGCGCGTTTCAAGAAAAACAA